TGAACCAGTTTCACACGTCCACAGACGTTTTAATGGGGTGCTTAGTCAGACGTCCCGAAATTGAACCAGTTTTGCACATCTACAGATGTACTAAAGTGGGTGAGAACTGACGTTATACAGATATGATCCAAACGTGTTTCTGACATTGCATGTTTGCTGGGAGGAAAGAAACTCCCTCAAAACATGCAAGAATTTGCTCAGAGCACTTTCTGTCAGATGCGTATCTAATGTGTTGACAGACGTAATTTACTCAGTAGCCTACTATCTTACACAATGTTGTGTTTTATTGCGAGTGTACACAAATAGAAGTTAACACTTTGCAGTTTGAATGTCCTGTATGAACGAAATGACGAGGTATTAAAAACATACAAACAAAACAACATTGTTTCCACTGTTCGATCACGTCCGCGCCCCCCCCCCCTCTCTCTCACTCACTCGCTCACACACACACACACACTTCCAGTATTCAGAGATTATAGTAACAAAGTAGAACTACTTGTACTAAAATGCTGTAGGCTATCTGTACTCTACTAGAGTATTGTTTTTTTCTCATACTTCTACTTTTACTTCAGTAGATATTTTCGATGAATTTAATACTTTTACTTCGATATTTTTTTAATTCTCTGCTAGTTACTCGTTACAATTATAAAAAAATGTACGAATCATTCGTTGCAAGTTGGCTTTCATGCTGCCTAAATCACACACCAGTTTTATAGGGTAATGGTATTGATTGACACACACATTGACAACTGATGCAGGGGTTGTCCTGCAATGGCCGCCAAAGCAAATTTGTATCCCACCAAAGCGCCTTATTTGATTGCTAGTTCAAAATTTTGACTGCTTTCTTTAATAATTGCATGACACAATACTTGTACTTCTACTTTTAGTACTTAAGTAGTGAATTTTTAAATAAACTACTTGCAATACTTAAGTACAAAAAATGTTGAATACTTTAGTACTTCTACCTAAGTGTGGTGCTTAAGTCACTTTTTTGATAGAGCACTTGTACTTTTACTCAAGTCCGGGTTTCTAGTACTTTATACATCTCTGCCAGCATTACAATGTCATGTCCCTAAAGAACCTGCGTATAAAGTAGTTCCGCATTACATTACATTAATTTGCACGCAAGTTTTATTTATTTTTATATTCATGCACCGAACCATGATGCCCATACCGTTTCGGTTGAATACGAATACATGTACCATTCCACCCCTTATGCTTCAGTGTACAAATAAGTACATGCATATTACAGAAAGGACCGGTGACTGTTTTGATGGGAACGTAGGAATTAAGTTGTGCAGGCTATGGCTTTTTAATAAACAGATAGTCTAGCATCATGTTAGGGGAGAGCGGGGCACAACAACCTAACGCATTTTGGTTTTGGCTCAGTTATTTAAAAAATAATTAGGTTAAATTAATATTTTTTTACACAAGCAACATGCACATCTCTGCTACAAATGAACACTTAAAGTTTTTTTCTAGGACCTACCATTTTCGTACAGTTGGACTGAAAGTGACAGAAGTGCAAATGTTACAACTTACCTCATATGCGGGGTTAATTGTAACAGACAGAGGGGTTAGTAGGAACACTTGTGTGTTACACACTTAATTCAGAACAATTTTATGTGTATAGTTTGATATTGTTTGTGCATCTGTATAGACAGATATCCATACATCCATCCCTCATCCAATCACCCTTCTATTATGGATCAATATCATGGATAGAGACATAGAAACGGGCTGTACAGTTTTGCAATAAATAATTATAAATAAAATTATAAAATACTGCAATTGCAATTAAATTAGATTTGTGTGTGGCAGCCACATACAATTATTATTATTATAATAATAACAGTAATAATCATACAAATGAGCTTAAAATAATAATTTTAAGGGTTTATTGCATTAAAAACAGGCCATATTTTTAATAAATAAACAAGTTATCATTCATTTCAGTCATTTTTTCATACATTTTAAACATTTTAAATATTAACATTGTTTGTGGAAGTCCAACAAAGTTAAATGTATACTCAAACCTGAAAAGTTGTGTGGCTCCGTTTTCATTTGATTATCATTGTACACTTGGAGGCTTGTTTGTAACACTGTGTTACAACGAACCTCGCTGTGTCTTACATATTTTAAGCCTAGCTAACAGTCGCTAGGAATTGCTGACAAGTTTCAAAACGGTGCTATGTTTGAGCCAACAAGACACTGATTAAGGCAATATAAAGTTAGATTTGGAAACATATACACCCAACTCAGAAACCGAAAAAAAATCTATGATGAAAAAATTTACTTTAATGGTGTCAAAACACTCTTTGTCAAGTATCTTCACGAAATATAATCAAAATTTTCCGCAAATTCGCGGGAGACCGTCTTCTGGCAGCAAGAGAAAAATATCGTAAACACAGCCTGCTTGATCCTGACGAACTATTCAACAGGTCCGTGTTACATTTAACCCCGCGTTAGGTTGTGCCCCGCTCTCCCCTATACCTTCGCTATGATGACTAAGTTACTTTTCCATTGATTGCACTTAAGCAAACGTCACCAAACCAACCCTCGGCAAACTGATGACATGAAAATGAAAATACTGAAACATGAAAGTACTGTATCTGAGGCAAAGCTGCATAATCAGTGCTCAGTGCTTCCTTTGTTAGCGCATCCGGATCATTTTCATTTATGAATGAAATTTTCGCATTGTACCTCTCTCTGTCTTGTGTTAATAGAGTCTCTTTATAATCTCTTTCACTTTGTCTCTTCGTGATTTGCGTGACATAATAAACAAAGAAATATTTAAAACTGTGTAAACACAGCAGCTTTTCCATCAAAGATGGCGTCTCTGGGGAGGTCGCGTGACATTAATTGGCCTGTGGGAACTTTGTATAATCATTGTCTACCCGTAGCCAATCACATAACATTTGGTTATGACGTGTGTAATTGGCCAGCTCAGTCGTATCGAACTTCCACTGTAAACACACGTATGATGCGAAAACGAAACCATCAAGCAAAATGGCTGACTGAGTTTTGCTGTCTCCTAAACCCAATCCTCCTTGAGTGCAGTTTCTCGCTGAGGATCGGTAATAGTTGATAAATTAAACTTTTCCCAAAACCTGTCGAGGGCCACAACATCACCTCCATTCAAAATGTTTAACAAACACTCTTCTTGTTCGGGCTTCGGTTCTCAAATGCCGGGAATATTCTCCACAACAGAGCAAATTGCAATCGATTTCCCTAACCTAAAATACAATCTTAAACCTTAGCGTCCACGTCATGGCTCTCAGCCCGCCCTCTGTTCGTTGATTGGAAACGATCTCACGGGAATTCATACGAATTTTACGAGGTGGCTAATTCGTATGACCTCCCTCGTATGAATTAGAACGATTTTGCTAAATCGTACATATTTTACGAATTAGCCAATTCGTATGAATTCGTACGAATGACCTACCCCTGACCCCGCCCCTAAACATAACCGTCACGTGGGTTTAGACAAATCGTACAAATTCGTTCGAGTGAGGTCGTATGAATTAGTACGAATTAGCCACTTTTGAATCACTCGTACGAATTCGTACGAATTGGTCGTGAGATAGCGTAGGAGACATCATGTCGATGTCTCAGACTGAGTACAGAACATAGACAGTAAAAGAAATGGACACAGCGACAGCATTGATTTCAACGGAGAAAATAGAAGCCCATTAAAAGCCGATCGCCAGGCGTACTGCGCAAACTCAGCCTGTCACGTGAGCAACCTGTACGTCTTCTAGTAGCTGTGCCTAGTGAAATCTGAATAATTCCCTTCCGAATCTGACAGAGACGGAGAGAGTGAGTATTAGCTGTCCATGAGCTAGGAGCAGGATCAACGTTGACTCTCGATGAGCTTCTTCCTCGACTTTATCAGACGTTATGCCTGAAAATGAATGGGAGTCAATGGAATACTAACAGCAGGTGAAGTTCTGCTACAATGGCGGCGATGCTTCAACTTCTGGCTGATAGATTACCCCCTTGGTACAGAAGCGAACCGAAATAGAGCGGAAGTACGAAGTCTGATGCTGTCAGGCTAAATGATCTGAGGACCTCGTGTTAATTAGAAACAGATAACACACGCACGTCTACAAGATATCTGTCTCTTCAGATCACTTCATCTGCTGTTGCATCATTTGCGTGGGAATTTTTACTTTACAAATTTCAGACATGACCGATTCGCATGGAATTGGGATTACGAACAACCTCTGCAATTATTACAAATGACTAAGTCACTATATAGCGTAACACTAATTCTATTACAACTATTCTTTATTACAGCTTCCCCTGCTGTTTTGAAATTGTTTGCCTGTTCCTCCTGTCCTGTTTGGTTTAGAGCCCTGCTTGATCTCTTTCACTTTCTCTGTTTGCAATCTTGATCCAAAACCAAAGGCTCATAATTTGTCATCCAAGCTCTTAAGAAACACTTGAAACCCCCACTGAATGCTTAAAAATAAGCAGGTCAAAACGTGTTAGAAATGAAAAGGCGGATTTCATCATCGTGTCACTTTGATGGAGTGTTGGTTCCTTGCCACTGTTGCCTTGCTTTTGGCTTGCTTAGTTGGGGATATTTAATATTCAACAATATTATTGATCTGTGTTGTACTACTTTCATGTTATCACTGTGAAGCTGCTTTGATGCAATCTGTATTGTGAAAAGCGCTATAAATGTGACTTGACTTGACTTTGGTCAGATACAGTAAAACTTTACAGCTCAACTGCTGAAACAATGAAACGTCCAATAGCCTACATAGCTACATTTATTATCATAACATCCCACCCCTCTATTGGGCTTTTTCCAATCTAGTTATCTTGTAACCCAAAGTGACATATTAAGCATAAAATATATCCCATTTTAGTCTCTTTAAAAAGATGTTATCTTTGCGCGTTAAATAAAATAAATAAAATGCAATGCAAGTTAAACTAGGGTCAATGGGACGGCGTTTCATTCGTAACATTCTTCCCAGCATATCCTGAGGGAGGCAGAAAGCCGCCTGTCTGTGTTAATCATTCCGGTAAGGGGGCGTCAAATTTGCTGGATGGATTTAAACACAGTTCTGCCTAAAAGTGCTCACGACATCACTGTTCATCATCTGCAGACGCTCATTTGGTCCAGAACCGCGAGGAGGAGAAATTATATTAATCCGAAAACCAGCTGAGGTAAATTCATGCATTATCATTTGTGACGAGTGCTGCAAAATAGATGCAAGAAGCAGGTTGTCGCAAATTTATTGATTTTTAAATGTTTACAATACATAGTCTATAGACTATTAAATATCACAGTCAAACACCCTTCAGTCATTACTAGGCTACCTTCTTTTGCATTTTGATCTGTCGATATACGGAGCCAAAAGGGAACGCTTAAGTATAATTGGACTAGCCTACGACGAAATATAGGCTATATGCTGCGTTAACTTTAATAGGCTAATACTATTTATAGTTTAATGTTTGTTGTGTACTGTACAGTGACTGTGATGTCCAGTAGCTAAAGTAGCTACCTGTTATTACCTGTTTGTCTATGATGTTTGTTTATCAGTTTCCAGAAAGAAGCTATCCAAAATGGAAATCTGCAAAGGTATACCAGCGGTTCTGTGTGTAGCCGACGGAAAGTGTGTGTGCGTCCAGGTCAAGCGCAAGCCCAGTCCATCTCATCATCAGCTGGTTACGGTGAACACGCAGGCTGACGATGAATGCGTCGGTAAAGACTTCTGAATGCTTCATAGAATTCTTTGCTTATCCAGAACTAGTCTCAGCAATAACTCCTAAATTAATTAATTTAAATGAGTGACTGTTCAGCACGGTCAGTCTGTAGCCCGTTGCATTTCTATGGCAACGTCGCTGTCTGTGCTCACAACACCTGACATTCAGCAACTGAGAGACGATGCTCTGATTCTGACTAATTGATTTTTTTTTAAGCTAGACTATCCCCATTTAGCATTTTGAGGTGAATTTTTAGATAATTATATAGGCTACTTTTTAAAAATTGTTTATCCTTATTGACCTTATTCAGAGCAGCGCCATGTATGAAAGTGAGGCTGTGAGGGATAGACTTGCCGTGTTTCCAGTGGCATCCGCTGTAAAAAGCTGAATAAAGCGGCTGGATTAATTACAATTTTCCACAGCTTACATTATCGGGATTTTTTTGTCAACTGACATTTCTTGGAAAGATATTTTTCCAGTGTTTCATGAGCAGAACAAACACATTAAATAACAGTATACAGCCCATTGAAGAGATGCAAGTCTATCCCTCACAGCCTCGCTTTCATTCTCATTAAAAATCAAAGATGGCGCTGCCGTGAATAAGGCGTATTAGGCTATGGAACAAACAGTCAATTAATTAGGCTATAATCAACACCTGCGAGTGTACAAATGAATACAGTAAAAATGACAGATTAGGCTACGTTAATTCAACTTTATTAAAACTGCATAGTTTATTCTCGAAATATTTCGACTTTATTCTCGTAATTTTAGATTATGTCGACTTCATTCTCGAAGTAATTCGACTTTATTCTCGAAATGCTAGAAATGTGGATCAGGCAGTCTCGTGTGTTTATGTGTGTAGCCTATATATAATATATAGCCTATTGTGTTTGTGTGTATATATATATATATGCATGCTACTGTATGGGCCTATAGCCTATGCTACTGTATATGGGCCTACATGCATACATTTTTGGTAAATGTTTAATAATTTTTGTTGTGTCCTTTTTATAATTTTTTTATATTTATAGTAATTTATATATTTTTTAAACATGTCAGTATGTTTTTTTTTAATTAATTTAGATTTTAGGTTTTCAGTTTTAGTTATTTTACATCAAATAAAAAAATAAATAAATATGAGAAATGTTGCCTTGATGAGATGGGAAGAAATATACCATTACATTTCACAGTTATTTATTTTTTTATTTAGCTTGTTATATTATTTACTCTGTGAAATGTAATTTATGTGGAAGTTATCAGTGAAAGTTACACAACAGTGTTTCTTATCAATGAAAGTGTTTGTGATTTTTATATAATGCTATAAATATAATTTGTCTTTTTCTTCTTCAGTCCAGGTGTATGACATTGTGTATGACAATAGGGCATGCATGGCATTTTGTTTTGAGGTTGGAGATAAGGCCATTTTCCCATTTACTGATGGTAAAGACATCAAGTTTACGGTAAGATCTCAGATCAATTCTTTTTGGAAAATGTTTAGACATGGTGTCAAAATATATTTCTTGTGCTTTTTAATATCTAATTTTTGATTTGATAAGATCTGAAATTTTTAACAAAGTCTGCTGGCTCTCACATACACAGGTATTGTCCTCACAACAGAAGGTCACGAAAGATATGTTAAATGAGACGTTCTTATTTCAATGGGGTGAGAAGGGAAGCAGAGACTGGGGGAGCTTGAAATCAGTGGCTGAACCCAGCATGTACCTGTTTTTTGAAGACAATGACAATAAAGTGACCATTAAACCAGTTGAATTGCCGCTTTTTAAAATCAAGAAAAAAGGTATTTTTGTGAAATGTTTGCAAGTGGAATATTGTACTTGTATATGTTAAACAGGAGTGACGATGTTCTGCCTTCTATCAGTTTCAGCTTCAACACCAAACTCACAGAGGTTTTGCATCCCGGAAAAAAACGTCAGGAAAACAACGTACGAAAGGTTTTCCTTGTTCAGCCGGGGCTCGAAGCATGGACCTTCTATCTGTGAGGCAACAGTGATTTCCACTAAATCAACGTGGCGCCACAAAAGGTAACTATTCTTATATATAGGCTTCACTTTTATATATTCCCTTGGCCTTGATCACTATATTACTTTCACCACTGTGTTTAGTTTCAAATATCCAGATATGTTTTTAAAGTTGGTAACACATACTATAAATAATTAATAATTCTCCTATTGACTGACTTTAATTTAGCACACTTTTATGTATACAAGCCCTTGAAATAGTGGGCTTTAGTACATACCGGTATATAGAATCTCCCTAATTGCATTTACTTGCTTTTTATATCCTTGTAAAGCCTGACATGTGAAGTAATAGTCCAAAAAATCAAATTGGAAGAGTTTGTTGAACCTTTAGACAAAGTTTTTTTTTTTCTTTTTTTGTTGAGCATCTTAAATCAGTCTTGTATGACTCGTATAGACGAGGAGAACAAAAACATCTACGTTTTATTCAGAGGTCCAAGCTGAGCAAAAATATGCAATTTGATGTTGTATGGTCAAAAAGTAAGATTAAATTCTGATAGATTTTAACGTAAAACAATGAGATCTCTATAACCGTAAAGCATTTAAATGCTTTATAATTAAATGTTAATTTATTTCAAGAGGAATATTGTACTAGTATATATAATTCAATGTTTATTTAAATGCTTAGTTTTATGATTAAAACTTTGTAGTTATATTGTGACGGCCAAACGTGTAAGGCTTTCTTTAAAGGACTGCTGTATCTTATTTGATACACACATTTTTGATAATCGTAAGAATATTTCTAACAATATAAAGTGTATTTTACATATGTTTTTGAAAAAAATAATTTCACAGCAGAAATAATGCACTGTGACCTGTAGGTGAATATTTAGAATCAAACTTAAAGGCCTTTTACTTTCTAAAAAAGTATAAACTATCAATCAGAAGATTTTTTTCTACAAAGTGTTTTGATAATTTGGAGGCCGTAGACATTTCCGTATCAAATATGATGCAGCTAAAAAAAAAAGAATGAAGGGAATCTATCATTGTTTTTCAGGAAACCCAAGAAGATGAGATGCTCATTAAAAGCTTAATGCTTTTGAGTGTTCACTTACAAAACGACCTTGATCAATTCGCATCTACACAGTTCTTTTCTTTGAGGGAAAACCTGGATGTTGAGAAAATCGGAGTGAAAATTATTATGAATTAGTTGTTTTTCGAGGCAGGGGTATTTTGTCCATTTTTTGGTGCATGTTTGCCTTTTTGTTGTGTCATATAAATGTTACTAACATGCAGTTTTAGGTGTAAAATCAATTGCATTCTTACTATAAAAAAACAACAGGCACTATATAGTTTGGCACAAAAGTGTATTTTGTCATTTTTAAAGATGATTACATCTGTTTTAAAAAGCCATTAACGCACAATACAGGTACTTAAACCTTTAACGTCATTTGCTGCATTAAATCAAATGCATTCCTTACTGAAATACTCACTAATGGAATTGAGACGTTTGACTTCAAAACACACTACTCGTCGTATTATTGCTTAATTCGACATGAGGTTTAAAGGGTTAGTAGTTCATCCAAAAATGACAATTCTGTCATTAATGACTCACCCCTTTGTCATTTCCAAACCCGTAAGAGTTTGTTCATCTTCAGAACACAAATGAAGATGTTGTTGATGAAATCCGAGAGCTTTCTGTTTCTCCATTGACAGTTACGCAACCACTTTGACGCTTAAACTTCTGAAGAGACTCGATCACTTTATGATCACTTTATGCTTTTATTCACATATGATCATACTAATATGCTCAAGAAACATATATAACAATTAAACACAGTGTTAGTGACTTTTAGAGACTTTCTTCAAAAGCATGTAAGCAGTGTTTAACCTGTAGTGTATGCACTATTTTATGCCATTTTATAGTATCAATAGTGTAAATAGTTTGTACTCAGAAAACTCTAACAAGAATAAGTTCTTCAGTCACCCAGATGATGTATTTACTTCATCTACTTGTTATAGTTCCAGCTTTCCTTAAATTGTGGGAGGGGAGGAACAACTGGATGACAAAATAACCTTATAAAAGTTACACACGACTAGACATGATAGTTCACAGAATGTAATTCGGTACCCAAAGGGAGAAAGTCAAACTAAGTCAAGAGCGACCACTTGTGGTGAAGTGGTTAAATTGCAGACTCGGATGACGTGTAATTTCATTTGCTCAATTCTGCTGCTGAACCATGATTTAGAAGAAAATCAGCATGTGTAAGATCAGTATTTGGGGATGACTTTTATCACACATGTGCTTTGCACTACAGTTGTTGATTTGCGTTGATTTTCTAGTAGGGATTTTCACACATATTTATGTCTTTATTAATAATCGCTCGCTGTGCAAGCTTATTATTCTTATTGACCCTTTTGTTTGACTATGAATTTTATATCTTATAGTGTATTTCTTTTAAATGAATATACTGTATTTTTACTTTAAAATTCACATTCTCAGAATTCTCAAGAGAGAGAGAGATGATTATCACAAATGACTGATGATGACCTTGCTGAAAATGAAATCTAAGCACAGCTAAATTCTGTATTATGCATTTATAATGGAAATGTAATGCAAAAATGTATATTTTTACATTAAGCACATCATCCTGGATACTACAATCTTCTTGGTGTTCAGCTGACATTGCACTCTATTAATGTTGTTTTTATACCAAATAAACATATATTTTCTAGTGCCTTTGTGTTATGCATGATGAATGACAATGAGAAAGTGAAAAAGGCTATTTGCGCTATAAATTTCAAATACTGGACAAATGAAATGGCAAAATTGAATGTCAAGGATATGTGTTTTAGCTTGTTTCGTCACATATCAGAACATGGCAACACAAACGCTAAATATAGCCCTGGAAACCCTGCAGTCACATCTCTCTGATGCCCTCCTGCTTAAGCTCCTCCTCATCACTGGTGTATTACTTGCTTCCAAATTTCCATCCCTGCTCGTTGTTCTGATTTTTGGTAGATACTTTTATCCTACATAACTTATAGGCATTACAAGGACTTGCAGTTAAAGAAATGTTCCATGTCAAGAAGTGACAAAAACAAAATAAACAAAAAATGTCCTTAAAATGTCCTTGAAACATGGTGGTACTGTGAGTGTTGTGATGAATCGCTTATTGAATCGAATGGGTTAGACTCCAGCCACCAAGAACAATAAACCAGTTTAGATAATTAATGAATGGAGAATATAGAATAGAACAGCAAGTGTGCGAAAACGCACTGAATTTGTTGTTGTTTTAAGGAGTTCTTATCTTATCAAAAAATATTATTTGACAACATTAAAATTAGCAACATTTCTCATTTTAATTCAGATGGTACAGTCAGAATTTGGCGTGAACAGAATGAGAACATGGATCTGTCATGCTTTGTTACCACTGTGCAGGCTGGTGGTGGTGGTGTGGGCTGTGGGGGATGTTTTCTTGGCACACTTTAGGCCCCTTAGTGCCAATTGTGCATCATTTAAATGCTACGTCCTACCTGAGCATTGTTTCTGACCATGTCCATCCCTTTATGGCCACCATGTCCCCATCCTCTGATGGCTACTTCCAGCAGGATAAGGCACCATGTTACAAAGCTCGAATCATTTCAAATTGGTTTATTGAACATGACAATGAGTTCACTGTACTAAAATGGCCCCTACAGTCACCAGATCTCAACCCAATAGAGAGTTGAGATCTGGAGATAATTTTATAATAACTAATAAAAATTACAGAAGCACACAACAAAATTACTAAAACTTTCATTGAAATTAAATATAAAAATTATATAAATGTAAAAAACACCAGCACATATATTTGTTTAAATATGTACATTTCTATGCATACTATTTGTAAGTTGCTTTATGTAAACTTGTCTGCTAAATATAAAATGTAAAATCAAACATTAAAATGTATTAATATAATTTATTACATGAATCGAGCCATTAGTTCACAGCACAATGTGTCCAATTTTTAAGTGCGCACATATTTTAGAGAACATTGCTGATTATTCAGTGGTGAAACTGTGCAGAACTAGTAACCACGTCTGCTCTGCCTGGCATACAAACACGGCAAGGTGAATGGATATCTGCCAGGATTATAGGATTGAGCGTGACTGTTCATGAAGCTCTCAGCACAATCTGAATGAACGACAGTCTGGCTGACAGCTGTTTGCATCTTATCCTCATCCATCTCAGAATGGCAGAGGATGTGAAATAATCTCCTAAATCAGGAACGCTCTGCCAGGCGTGCCAGTGCATACCCTTGAACTGTCATCAGTGAAGCTTATGTGTGTGAGTGTGTGTGTGTTATGAAAGCTTATGTGTGTGAGTGTGTGAGTTATGAAATCATGTCAGATGAGGGTCACTGGGTTTATCTCAGTATTGATGCAATAGGATGTTGTGGGATTGAAGAGGGATAGCTGTTCGTCGTCGTTTAACTTCATCTTTCCGTGTTTGTCTTTATTACAGCATTTATTTAACAATGGCATGTGAGATTAATAGAGTATTTGAAGAAAAATCTGTGAAGTAGTGCCAAACTCAGTTTCAAAACGTTTGCTCCAACTTTGACTAAACATGAACCATAATGAAGGCTTTCAGGATTACTTCAAACTTCATGTCAGGTGTGTTTGAGCATATAACTGACGTCTTGGGACGTCTTTTGACCATACGTCAACATCCGCCTTTTAGGGTACCCTTAAAGGGTTAGTTCACCCAAAAATGAAAATTAAGTCATTAATTACTCACCCCCATGCTGTACCAACCCCGTAAGACCTTCGTTCATCTTCGGAACACAAATAAAGATATTTTTGATTGAATCTGAGAGCTGGATCAGTCCTAGATAGACTGCCTAAGGGACTGGCTCTTGACGGCCCATAAAGTCATTAAAGAAAAGGTTTAAATGTTCCACGTGCCTACAGCGGCTCAATTATAAGTTTATCAAGCGACGAGAATACTTTTTGTGCGAAAAAAAAAACATAAATAACGACTTAATTCGACTATTCTATTACTTCCTTATGGGCGCATGCGCGAGAACTGAGACGAGGACGTTCTTCTCCTTCGACTACTTTTTGTTACCGGCTGCTCACCGCTTAGGAGTTTTACCGCCCCCTATCGTATAAAATGATGTGCTGATATAGCTGGAAGCGCAAAACTTTCTGTTTACAAGCAGAGGAAGATGCGCACTGTACATACGCTTTTCAATTTGCGTATTTTCCGCACTACAAGGTGCACTTAAAAGCCTTTAATCTTCTCAAAAAACGACAGTGTTCCTTATAGTCCGGAGCGCCTTATATATGGATCATCATTTTATACGGTAGGTGGCGGTAATACTCCTAAGCGGAGCAGCTGGTAACAAAAAGTAGTCGAAGGAGAAGAACGTCCTTGTCTCAGTTCTCGCGCATGCGCCCATAAGGAAGTAATAGAATAGTTGAATTAAGTCGTTATTTATGTTTTTTTCGCACAAAAAGTATTCTCGTCGCTTGATAAACTTATAATTGAGCCGCTGTAGGCACATGGAATATTTAAACCTTTTCTTTAATGACTTTATGGGCCGTCAAGAGCCAGTCCCTTAGGCAGTCTATGTAGGACTGATCTAGCTCTCAGATTCAATCAAAAATATCTTTATTTGTGTTCCAAAGATGAACGAAGGTCTTACGGGGTTGGTACAGCATGGGTGTGAGTAATTAATGACTTAATTTTCATTTTTGGGTGAACTAACCCTTTAAACGTCGGTTAGATGACGATCCCAGGCTGTCCATGTCTTTCTTTCTTCAGTCGAAAATAAATTAAGGTTTTTGATGAAAACATTCCAGGATTTTTCTCCATATAATGGACTTCAATGGGAACCAAACGGTTCAAGGTCCAAAAGACAGTTTCAGTGCAAACTGTTCAAAGGGCTTTAAACGATTCCAGACGGACGATGAATAAGGGTCTTATCAAGCAAAAACAATCGCTTATTTAATTTTTTTTTCTTGCTCTGTTCTGTGTGACTCTCCTGTTCGAACTCGTTCAAAATGAATGAATCTTTTCCCGAGTCAACTCGTTCATTTCGTTCGTTGAATGAACGAACGAAAAAAATGAATCATTTTGCTTGATAAGACCCTTATTCATCGTCTGAAATCATTTAAAGACTTTTGAACAGTTTGCACTGAAACTGTCTTTTGGACCTTAAACCATTTGGTTCCCATTGAAGTCCATTATATGGAGAAAATCCTGGAATGTTTTCATCAAAAACCTTATTTTTTTTCAACTGAAGAAAGAAAGACATCTTGGATGACATGGGGGTGAGTAGATTGTCAGCAAAAGTTTTTTTTAAAAGTGAACTAATCCTTTAAGTCAAAAAGTTGCCCTTTTATTGTCATAGCACAGCTCTCCTCAACATTATTTAAAGTAACATCTAAGACAATGCAGGATGTTCAAATCTCTAAGGATGATAAATTGTATTAGTGATTCCTGCCGTAGCCAACACCACTAATGAGAGGTGGTTTTTAGGGTTGCCTTCAACTGCACCATCCTAACAAAAAACCTTTCCGCAGAAATGGCTTGCAATGTCCTTGAAGCCAGACTGAATCTGTGAAGTGGAACAAACAGAGAGTTTGCGAGATTCTGTTTCACACAGATAAGAGCAAGGCTAAGTCCTATTAAAACCAGACCTCAGTATGCATGAATTCAGCTGTTTAGGGCACCCTCTCATAAATACATTCATCACAAATTATAATGTGAAATAGTAAGACTAGTTCAGCTTAAATGCATGACTATAAACAATACAGGCTAAACATTAAAAAAAAGTATTTTGTAAAGTATAAATATGATTGTTTTGGGAGTTTGCAGACTCCTGGATGCATGATTATTATGATCTCCTTTTTTATTTTATTTGTATTATAAGCTGAAGTAAACTGGGATATAGCTTTAAAAATAATTATTATTTTTGCAATTCCAGTTGGTGATGTTTGTGGTGCAGAAACATTTGATAGAAAAATTCATTTTTTAAGGATTGTGAATGAATGAAACATTAAATCAGAGGACAAACAAACGCTCATGTTCTCAGCAAAGATAATTTTTATTGTTCAAAGGAAGTTGTGGAGAATTACAGCAGTACACACTTGACTGAACAGCTGCCTTTATCACATAACACAGTACAGACAAGAATGAGGTCAAAACTTAAATGGATATTGAAATTAGTAATAATATTAAAAAAAAATCACTATGGCTCCCAAGATGGTGTGTATGGCTAATTTATGTGGTTAAAGAAGGCCTGAAAATTGAACATCACTCCTTTCTTTCTCGTTAAAATTAAAAATGTGTAACACCCATACACAGCAGTAAGAAAGAAAAAAAAAGGATAACAGAGGGAAGTCGCAAACAGGCACACACATTTTGACAGATCTTGAAGAGAAGCTGACAAGTTGCAGTAAGACTCAGAGATGTAACACCTAAAAACAACTTAATACGTGGAGGAAGAGAATGTTAAGGAAAAAGTGTGTTGTTTTGTCATTTGGGTTGTTGAAAAAGGAATACAAACTAAACAGAACATCGTCAAGTCTAGTTTGTATACTATTTTATTTATTTCTCTTCCAACCATAAGGACTATGTATGGAAAACCAGTAAGAAATATCCCCCTATATATAATTGCATCCGAGTTGTATTTGTTTAAATAGCTTGGAAGCATTTATAATTGATTCTATGTCTATGTATAAATATATTTCTGTATATATATATTTCTGTATATTGTTTCTTTTAAAAATAAATCTATTTAAACCCAGATGGGTGTTGTTCAACATTTGATTTCCATTCCAGTTGTCACTGAAGCTCTCCACATATTCAATTAAAAAACTTCTAATTTGTCATGACCTGATGTTAAGCCTATACCAGGCTTACAGTATCATTCCCTTTAAAAGAGCCAGATCAAGCCCTGTATCATTAGTAAAATTAGTGGCATCAGCACTAATGCACTTCCAAATTGAGTATATACAATCAGAGTGATTTGCTCTACCCTGACAAGAAACAGGAGGAAAACAAAATAAAACTCACCAGCCCGCGTGAACCTCAATAGTCAGAGCATTGGCGGAGCATGGATTTATAGCACCATTTGAAATGTTTGTACATTGTTGCTTGAACTGTATTGTGTGCCCACAAGTTGAACTCTTTAGCGGTCTCCAAATTTTACACTGTTTGATCTGAGTCTTATTATATATATATACACACACACACACACACACACACACACACATTTGCAGAGAACACTTTCCGAATGAGCTAACTATAAGATCCACACCACGTCATTCAGATGATGCTGGTTTGCTCTCCATCATATGGTACAACAGCAAAAACACCTATAGTAGAGATCATATCTGGATACACTAACACTAAACGTCCCGGTTGACTCTATTGTTAACTCAGTCTCTGGGTGGTGGGGTCTTATTTTAAAAGGGAGAACTTTCAAAATGACAAGACCTATAGAGCAGCCAGCTGAAATATCCATTTATCTAGCCAAACATCGTCTATACTGCTTTAAAAGGGATTCTCTTACATATACATGACAGTGTTTCTCAGTCAAACATCTTTATTCGCCATAGAGCTTTAAATGTTCTTCGTTTCATGCACGGTAATTCTCTCCACTCCAGCGCGCGGTTCTCGCTCTGTGTGAGGTGGTTGTTGCCCCCCCAGCAAGGGAACACCCGTCCGGGTCACTGTCAGTCGTCATCGATGTCGTCGCCCTCCGACTCATCTCCTCCTCTCCGCTCGTACACTTTATCTCGGTGTCGCTCCTGGATCTCCTTCATCTCCTCGGCGTAGCGGCTGAAAGCTCCGCCGAACTTGCTCCACGCTTTGAAGGGTATCGTGATAGAGTTTCTGTAACTGGGCTTCACTTCGCTCACCCGCAGAAACACCCCGTACTTGTTGGAGCCCACGTCAAAGAAGAACCGCTTGGAGTCCACCGTGATTGACGTGCCCTCGGGAAGCTCCCCGTAACCTCCGGCGCCGCCGCTGCCGCCGAGCAGCTCCTCGTCGTCCCCGCCGTAGTCGTCGATCAGCTTGGCCAGGGCGTCGCGGAACTCGATGAGACCCTGAGCAGGAAGGGCAATAGTTTGCCCGGATTGCATGCCACCCCCGGGCACACCTCCTCCGCCGCCAAAACCACCAGGCCCGCGGTTGACGGTCTGACGGATCCGGAGGAACCTCCCCCGCTGGTTCTCCTTCAAATCGAGGTAGTATTTGCGATTCTCTCTCACTAGGAACTCGCTCTTTAAGGCCCGCCTAGGCCCGCCGTCCTCGCCGCTGGAGGACTGGGCGATCTGCTCCGGGGTGCTGGGTCCGAGCTGAGCGTAGTGCTCAATGAAATCCCCCAGGTAGTCCCGAAACTCAGCCGCGACTGACATGGAAAGTGTCAAGCGACTTTTGGAGCCACCAGCGCCGACCTCGGCGATCTTGATGAACCTGCCCTTCGAGTTCTGCTTCACGTCCAGGTAGAAGCGCTTGTTTTGGATGTCAAGGCGTTTGGACGCCAGCTCCTGGGTCTCTTGATCCCTCTGGAAAGGCTGGAATCCGCTGCCTCCACCCCCTCCTCCACCACTACCACCGCCACCTCCTCCTCCGCTACCACCGCAGCCGCCGCTGCTTCCACCGCGCTCACTCCCACTATCCCCATCCGCCATCTTCACCATCACCCAGAGAGCTGCGTTATTTTTTCCCATCCGTATGTCGTCAGGTCCCGCCTTCTGACCCATTCCGAGGCATGGAAACGTCGTGTGAATGGCCCATAGCTCTGGAACGTCACTTGCTTAGGAACATCTTGTGATTGGATGTTGGATATGTCAGTCATAAATTCGCTTCTCCAATTGGACCGCGACCTGTCCGTTATGCGAGTACATACCACATTCCCATTCTCGTTGGCTCACTTGGACTGCCTGTCAAAGTGTAAATCCCACCTTATTGTTTTGACAGTACCATGGGTGATTGGTGTACAGTGGTGTCGATAACGTACAAAAAAAAAAAAAAAAAAAAAAAAAAAAAAAACAAAAAAAAAAAAAAACCTCGAAACTGTACATACAGAGGCATCAGTCGCTCACTACAGCGGTATTCACAATTTTCTAGCCCTTTAAACATACAAATAAGAACTTCTAAATAAAGTTAACACAAAAAGTAATATATATATATATATATATATATATATATATATATATATATATATAACATACATAATAAGACTATAAAATATGCTATAATAAGAAAAAAAATTAGATTTAATTCAGAGACTATTGATGCAAATAAAATAAAAATAACTGGAAATATTTACCTTGAGGTTTACAGTCAGAAAAAAAGTCCACCGCACTGCCAACCTGAAGAAAAGTAAATATTTTACTAATACTATTCTCATTTGTTTTGGCCTTAATTCAACGAGAGTATGAACACAATTAAGTTAACTATTTACCGTAATTATTTTTTATCATTTCATGTTCATCAGCCTTCTGTCCCCTTTCTCGTATTTTTAAAAGTTTTTATCGTCTATGGTTTTAACTTTTTATGCGTACAAATATACAACACGTTCCTATATTCTCGCGAGGAAGGGTGTCTCGGAAAGGGTTTAAACATCGGATGACATGAGGGTCCTTGTCATAATAACCCCTGATTTAATGTATGAGTGTACAGTACATCAATCTGTATAAAAAAATGTTAAATCAAAGATCGAGTTTTATAACCCATTTTCTTTATACATCAAAGCCAGAGTCTCATATTGACATTTGACTATAAATTTATAAAAAGGACAAACATGTATTATTATCAACAGAAAATGTTTTAATACTTGATTTCGCCTCATGTGACAGTTGCCATATTGAATATGAGATTAAAAAGATAATGAAAAAAGTTACATTTTGATTATAAGTTCTATTTGGTTTATGTGGTTTTATAATTGATCTTGCTCTTAAGCCTTGTCATTATGAAATCATACGTTTTCTGTAAATCGAGTAAATTTTTGGCAGTTGTCGTCACTAATAAAGTCCCGCCTACGTTTCATCCTGAACGAACATCATTCATCGATGGGGGATGGTAGAAGCAGATACAAGGTGAAATCTCATTGGCCTTCCCGAAATTCGAACGAACAACCGATGATCTGATTGGCTGGTTCCACTTCTCGGTATGCCTCAAGCGTTCTCTGCTGAACGGAGTTTATTGTTCCTCTGAGTCAAGAGGCGAAATAGATTTTAGCCAAACCTCACTGGATCCCATTTAAAGTAATACTTCGCTGAAATGGTATGAAATTCTTCGACCTTGGTCTGTATAAGCATTTGCTTAAACTCGAAATGTCCATTTGCTTGTTATGTTGCTCATTTGTCGTCTGATTGAATATTCTACGGTTAGCTCTGAGCTAACGCAGGTTGGATTCAGCGCTCATAGCCCGCGAGAGTAGCGCGTGCTAACAGTCTTTGTACTTTTTATTTCATTTATCACGACGTTTCTTGACCCAGTGCAAATGATTTGCATCTTGAACATAACTATATTATATGTTTTGAAGGTTTTGTTGATATACGTCGCAGCTGTTGTGGAAATTTATCCAAGCAGCAAAGCTAAGCTAATCCGTCATCGGCAGTGGAGAGCTCGCGCTGATCAGTTTATAAATTGTTCATTTATTGTGTAACGTTGTGTAGTTCTTCAAAGACCATAAACTCCTAGGAATTGCGTTATGCATTTTTTTTTGTATGTGCAGGTTTATGTCAGAAACACGGGCAACCTGTATTGTCAGTTTAGGGTGTCAATCATATGAGCGGGAGATGTACCTGTTATAGTAGGAATCATTGGCATTCGGGAAAGTGGCAGATGGCATTGCTTTAAGTTTTAAGGTAAACTTTAATTCATGTGAAGAAAGAATAGGATCCCATTCCTAATGAATATGTTTTACTCATACCCTCTGAATGGGAAACGGTGCCAATGGCCAAGAAAAGTGGAGTATTTTCTTCAAACCTGCGTTTTTTATAGGCCTTCTGTTTATACTATAACGTTACCTGTAATTATTTATTTGAAAAAGTAATGCATTAATAATACATGCCTTGTTAATTTGTACAATAATTGACACGCATGACAATTTCTATTAAAAAAGTAAATGCTTTACAAAATGAAATATTATTTGATTTGTATTGAATTCATGTCAAATTGTTTTTATTACATATTAATTTGTTAAATTGTTTCAGATAAAAATAATTTCTTAATATAATATTATTTAATTTGCACATCTCATATAGTGGAGTACAATTACCCCAAACCCCCGATAATTGTTTTCATACTTTTATTGATCATGCTGCTAGTTTGTTTTGTTGAAACTTAAATATGTTTGTGTGCGCTGGATCTGAGTCTATATATTGTTTTGTAGGCCGGAGGAAAGGCAGGTAAAGACAGTGGCAAAGCCAAGGCAAAAGCAGTGTCTCGCTCACAAAGGGCTGGACTTCAGGTAAGCTAATATTTTTCTTATTCGCTCTGCAGGCCATGCTGGTTTTCTGTTCCCAAAATTAACAATCCATTTGGTAGCCCTCAAACCGTATTGACTTAATAGCCCTTAATCCTGTAATTGTGGACAAATGTGGGCACAGAGGACTCAGGTGTGATCCTAATTTTTATTTATTATAAATGTTATATCGCTGGCTTCGATAAAGTTTTGTCTATCCATTTATGGTGGTTTTTTTTTTGGGGGGGGGGGGGGGTGTTCTTGAATTTATTTACTTCACAAAGTACCATATTTTCTATGTAAATTATGCTTATTTTTATGTTTCATTTTTTACATTTTTTTAAACTATATTAAAATATCATTCCAATAAGTTCTTAGAGCTAAAACCTAAAGATGAAGTGACTTTGTTTGCTGTCACCTGTGTCTTATTTTGGCTTATTTTAGAATGCTCTAAATTACAGTTTTCCCATTCATTTCTATGGGTGCCCATTTTTGACCCAAATACAAGATAAAGGAGTTTTTTTTTTCACCCACTTAACATTGTAGAATTGAATAAAAAAAAATTGTGTGTGTTCAGGAGGCAAACTTAGGAAAAGTAGCCAAGTCTTGTACCACTCAGATCAACGGAAGTATTTTTTAAAAATAAATCAAAACTATTTTGCCCACATTTGTCCAGAATATGGTTTTAGGGTTAAGTGAAATGCCTTCAGTGAAATGGGTGTATATGTGGAATTTATTGGGTCACATTATTTCGAGTCGAATAATAGTCAGATACAACTTTCTAAGAATGCATATCTGAAATTTGTAGTTCCCAGTGGGTCGTATCCACAGGCACTTGAAGACCCGCACTACAAGCCACGGTCGTGTGGGAGCAACAGCAGCCGTGTACAGCGCAGCCATCCTTGAATATCTCACAGCTGAAGTAAGACTGTGCCATTGACCTGCAGGTTGCAACTCAAATATGTGGCAAGCTGTTAATCAGGTTTAATTCTTGTTCTAGGTTTTGGAGTTGGCAGGAAATGCTTCAAAGGATCTGAAGGTGAAGCGTATCACTCCTCGCCATCTACAGTTGGCCATTCGTGGAGATGAGGAGTTGGATTCCCTCATCAAGGCAACTATTGCTGGTGGTGGTAAGTTGGAGTTTGTTTATGTTGCATACATACTGGTGTGTTTGATGGATGAGGATGTGAATCACTTGTGTGTTTGGTGTCTTCTCGCAGGTGTGATTCCACACATCCATAAGTCTCTGATCGGTAAGAAGGGCCAGCAGAAGACTGCGTAGTTCCCTTTGGGGTCGCTATGCTGACATGGACTCGAGGACTTGCATTTGGGATGTGTGACCAGATCAGCTTGTTCATCCATTCATCCGTTCTATTTTTCTTTTCTTTTTTTTTTAAGTTAATATTAATGTTATACTAGCTAACCACAAGTGATTTGTTAGAGTTTTTGTGTTAATGTTATATCGCCAAAACTAGAATGGCAAATAAGCCCCTCCTCCACCCCAACCCAGATGTCAGGTATTTTAGAGAGACAAACAGGAAGTGTCCGATCTTTCCTGTTGTGACTGTGGAATTGTTTGTTGAATTGGCCAGAGCTATGGAGCTGTTTTATACTGAAAAATGGAAGTGATAAAAACATTTTATACAAAACCGACATGTTTGTTTTTATTTGATCTGCCATGTTCTTTTCAAAGTGATAGCAATTAATTATAGTTAATACATAAAATTAATGACACAACCATGAGATGTGGGGCTGCAGTGGTTCATGCAGTGGTAGTTTGTCTACAAACCAGAAGGTTGGTGGTTCAATCCCCGGTTCCACCTGACCAAGTGTCGAGGTGTCCATGAGTAAGACACCTAACCTCAGCTGCTCCCGATGAGGTGGATGGTGCCTTGTATGGCTGACACCACTGTCGGTGTGTGTGTGAATGAGTGAGTGAATGTGAGACAAAATGTAAAGAGCTTTGGTGGCCATTGGGTCTGTGAAAGTGCTATATAAATGCAGTCCATTTCCATGAGATAGTAAACTTTAGCATAATTTTAAAAATAAGGAATGATTTACTAAAATAATATTCTTAGGTGCAAATTGATTGTAATGTTTTTGGACACTTAATTGCATGTTATTGACAAAATTTGTTAAATGCAATTAGTTTAACTTCAGAGTGCCTCTTGACCAACTTAAGTACAACTTTTTATGAAATTTTAATTTAGTTAAAAGTATGTATTTTAAACCCCGTTTTATAAT